GTGTGTGTGTGTGTGTGTGTGTGTGTGTGTGTGTGTGTGTGTGTGTGTGTGTGCCCTTTTCATCCTGACAGAAGGGTTTGGTGCTGTCTCTCTCTCGTCAGTCTCCAATCTGATCGTTGTGCCCCTTTGCCAGGGCAAAGAGGTGTACGAGTGTTGGCAATGGTAGGTATTCTAGGGAGCTCTGCTAAAATCGTTTAGGGTTTCCATACAATGTTGTCTTGGCTTTTAGCCTGTTAGGATTTCCTACTGGACACTGTACTTCCTCTTAGGTCGTGCTGACACTACCGCCTTCACACGAATATATTGCCCGCAATTTTCCGGTCATTATATTGCGGTGTATTTTTGCATGTTCTAGTGGGAGATTCATTCTCGTTTTGCACATTTGGTGAGTAGTGGAGTGAGGCCCATGGTATCGTCTTGATTTCCTTTTACAGTTGTTTTGTTTGGTCTTGTCTTCGGCCTAGAGCAATCTGAAGGTCATCTATGTTCGGTCGGGGTGCTTTTTCCTCTCTATCCTCGACCTTTATCTTCATCATCATCATCATCAGCAGCAGCAGCAAATTCAATCCATGAAGAAACCGGTTGTTTAATAATGTTTATTCTCTAGCCGAAGCTGGGTGATGGCCCGCCCCAGTAGTTTCTTTGCAATTTCTTGATAATCAAAGCCTTGGCCGCCCAGCGGGCTTCTTGTTTTTTTTTTTTTTTTTTTTTTTTTTTTTTTTCGGTAAAGGGAAGGCTGTTTCCATTTGGATCTACACATCAGGGCGAGAGGGGGGGAGTACTAAGAGGCACCGGTGGTCTTTTCCCCTTCGTCTGGATGATGCCGGTGGCCAGGTGCAGTCATGAGCACCTCGCATCTGAGACCCCGATGTACATTTTGCCCAGGTTTATATCAGGGAAAATGACAAGAATCGGGTGTATCTTTCTACTTTTTGCGGCCCCCCCCGCCCCCTGGCCCCCCCCCGCCCCCTCCCCTCCCTTTCTGCCCGCCTGTCTGTGTTCCTACAGGAAGCTTGAGAACATGCTAGATAAGGGCAAGCAGGACGGGAAGCTTGATCTGTCATTGCTGGATGAGTCTGACCAGCAGCAACTCCGATCGGTGCTGTTTCTTCTGAGAGAGGACGAAAGGGATTTAGCTGAAGTCTCACCGACTGACTCTGTTTCCGCAGAAGAATCCACAACTGCACTTCGCACAGACAAGTCTGGAAGAGGGATGGACCTCTCTAGCCTTGTCCAGCAACTGGCGTCCATGGCAGGCCTGAAATCTTCATGGCAAAATGGGGACTCTACCTCAAGTCTGAGAGACAGCTCTTCCCCTTCATTATCACCGAAGTTCACAGCCGTCGATACACAGAAGACAAGAGAGCCTCAGGGTCGAAGCTACGTAATGCCATATGTTGTGAATGCCTTGGAAGGTCTGATCGATCTACCTCCGATCCAGATGCCGCAACTTTTCGGAAAGACTGCAATTGCGGGTGGCTTGAGAGCAAAAGAACTGTTGCGGGACCCCATTGCGCAGTCGGAGAACGACTTGCAGGCCTTCAATTTGGGAGTAGATGCAGTGACGGAGTGGACCAACTATGTGAATGCAGTTCCCAGAGAGAAGATATACATCCCTTTGACAATCTCCAATAACGTCACACTCCAAAAGCCCTTTCGGGTCGTTGTATATGGCCAGCCACTCGTTCTGTTCCGCCCTTCCCCAGGTAGACATTCGCGACCCCCAACCGCATTTGAAGTTTCAACCGATTGATTTTTTTTATTTTTTTTCTTTCTCTGTTGTTGCAGTGTCCACGCATGCCCGTCGTTCTAACTGACTGCTGTATGCCTGCCTTATATTTGTCTTCTCGTCCATCCGTGTCTATCTGTTGATCCATTTGCCAATCCGTTTGCTTGTCCATTGATCCACCTGAGTGTTGCTCTATCTGTCTTTTCGGCCGGTCAGCCCATCTATATAATTGGTCTGTGACTGTGTGTCTATCAGTTCAGTTCATCCCTTGCTTAACCATCGGAATCATAAACACGTGTCAAATACCCACAGCGGCTCCAGCCAATGCGATCCGTTTATTTTTTCACTTATTCTTTGGAATCCATCTCTCATCTGTTTGTTTGCCTTACCTATCTGTTTGTTTGTCCATCTCCCCGTCTATTCCTCTGCCTCGATATGCGTGCCTGCCAGTAGACGGTCCCCGCCTTGTGGAGATTTGCTTGTCCAAGAATTTCGCACCTCGGGCCTACCGGACAACAATGGCTGGCAGCGCCAGCCAAAAAAGCAAAAAAAGTGTGCTGCTGGAGGCTCAGAAAAGCTTGGCGCACAACAATGCAGTGCCTCCATGCCCAGGTGTGCTGGTGGTTTAAACATCTGAGGCCACACTCACACTGGAACCTTTTCAAATCTGCTGTACTCAGTCTGTAGGTAATTGCGGTCTTATACATCCAGTTGGGAGGTCCCCCTAACAAAGAGGAGGATCGTAATGAATGCCTGAATGTGGAGGTGTCTGTGGAGAGGTGCAGGAAATTGAGATCGAACTGCTTTTCTGCATCTCTGCATAAATTCACCAAACGCCCACCCTGGCTCGGTTGGTGCACCTATGAACTTCTGGAACATACAGACCAAAGTTTCGAGTCTTGATGCATGATAAAGAAAAGAAATGATGGTGGCTGCGTCAGGTTTTCAGTGCCAGAAGGCAAAAGAAACTGTAAGGGCCTCGCCACACCAATGTTGAAAACTGATTTTTCGACATTTTCTCCTCGCCACACAGAATGTCGAAATCCGAGATGCGAAAAAAATTCAGGAGCTGTCAGGGAAAGGGTTTTGACACCTCCTCTTGAGACGGGCTCGTTTCCCAGCCTGCAACTTGGACATTTTCAACAGTCCTCCGATGGGATGTCGAATTCTTGCCCGAATGTCGAAAAAGAGAACGCACCAACACTTGTCCTATCTTCACCCCAGTTTGTCTCTTTTGCACATACGACTCGTGAGTTCTTCACTTGGACATGCGGTGTGGCGAAGAGGGGTTTTCTGTCGAAAGAGGGAATGTCGAAAATCTCCTGACATATGTCGAATTTCGTTATGTTTCGACATTGGTGTGGCGAGGCCCTAAATGGAGATTCAAACAGGGCACGACGAGTTTGAAATGTGTGAGAAGAAGAAACATAAAACGACAGTCTGCACACCATCCCCCCCCCCCCCCCCCGTTAAAAAACCTGACCCGCCTGTTTTTAAAGTCACACCGTGTTTGAATCGCGTCTTGAACTCATGTGGGTGTTTGAATCGCCATTTGTTCTTTTTTTTTGCCTTTTGGAAATTGGATTGTGACTGAAATGTAGTTCCCCCGCCTCCCTCCCCCCCCCCTCCCCACCCACCAAGGAAAACAAAGGAAAAAAAGCATAGTAGCATGTGGAATCTGAGGGCACACTCACACTTGAACTTTTTCGAATCTGCGGTCCCATAGCGGAGGCAGATAAGGGCAAGGGGTTGGCAGGGGCATACTTTGGGTGGGAACTGGATGCCTTTGAGGGAACAGGAGGGGGAGGAGTGGGTCTGTCTCATGTTGCAGCTGAGGAGGAGTGGCTGTAGTTAGGGTGGTCCTTTTTGGCAGGGGCAGCATAGATGCAGAGTGAGAGAGGAAGGGGGGAGGGGAGGGGGGCGAGGGAATTCTACGGTCAGCGTCCCTATCATTTTTGGTGCCATCAACATCATTACTCTTTGAGTTTAGCATTCTCCAGTAATAGATCATCAGTAATCATAAGCAATCTCCGCGCTTCTCAAGAAACCAGATCCAGGACTCTAGTGGCGGTAGCAGCTTATCTGATGCCATGCGAAGCTGCAATGTTTAGCCGTCTTGGTTGGCAGAACAAATGCCAGAACAACGCTGGCCGGAGCTGGGGCCTAACCGTGTAACCTGTTTTCACAAGAGCGTAAGGCCTGGTAGAGAGATCCGGGGATTTGCCGAGGGTGGAAGCAGTGGCTAACTGGGGGCTGCTGCCAGGACAACGAGGGTTGGAGCTGGGGTGGGTTGCGCTGCCCTTTAGCCTAGCATGTTGGGGGGGCGAGGCCGGGTATAGACCTGGTAGTGCGAACAGGACAGCTATGGTTTGTTTTGGTGAGGCCCATTGTGTCACTTGGAATGTGGGTGTTTTTTTTTTTTTTTTTTTTTTTTTTTTTTTTTTTTTTGGGTAGATGTGAGGCTAGAAGTTGTTCATGAATTTTATTTTCTCAGTCCAAGCTGCGTAATGGTCCCGGTATCTTGAAGTGTTTTTTTTGTTTTTTCTGTAAGGGACGCTGGGCCCGGTTCCGAGCATGTGTCGCTCCCCATGAATAGATCTGAGCTTCCAAAAAAAAAAAAAAAAAAAAAAAAAAACCATCCAGGACAGTCAGATAAATTTAGGGAAGTCCTACCGGCTTCCACCGAACAGAACATATGGCCATTATAGCTGTATTAGGGGCAACTTTCAGTCTAGATACTGTAGTGTCAGTATGCTCTGATTCCAACACGTGTTTACGAACAGTCACATGCCTACCCTTCATCATCAGGAGCCAGGTGTGAACTTGTATTTGGGGTATCTCCAGACAACTCCCGGAATGCGAAAAAGACGAAACCTATGGCGGGTGTATCTTACAATGAAGATACATGCTCTATTTTGGACATTCCGGGACCGATGTGAACTTTATTTGGACGCCCCAAATCCTTCTACTCGAATGCGACTTGGGTGATTGTGGCTTGATGTAGAGATGGGGCCTCGCTCCACTACTAACCACATGCACAAAAGACGAGAAATATGGCAGTGTATCTTTCCAGGTCCTAGAGGACGGTTCATTGTCATTTTGCGCATTTGGCGAGCAGTGGAGTGAGGCCCATACCTTCATGAAAAAAGAAAGAGGGACAGCAAAACGACAAAAGAGAAAAACGAACCGCAGAAAACGACAAAAAAGAAAAAGGAACGGCAGAAAACAACAGAAAAGAGAAAAGAACAGAAGGAAACAAAAAACGCCGATTCAACCTCGTGTATTGGGACAAAACGGCCAGCAAAACAAATAAAATAATAATAATTAAAAAAATAAAAAAACGGCCAGCAACAGTGCTAACAGCGATTGGATTTTTTTTATTTTTTTTTTTAAGTAATAAAGTAAGCTACATTGTTCTCTCAATTGCACCTCACACTACCTACCTACGACTACTCCTAATTATAGTCATACATGGAACCCAGTAGCAGCCAGAACCGTGTTCACGAGAGAACATGCGGGGGCTGCTCCCAACCTGCAGGTGGGCGATACCGGCCAGGGGACAGCTGGTAGTATCAGGGACCATGCCAACAGGACCAATCACTGTGCCTCCCCTCAGGTCCCCACCCCTACGAACATCAGCAGACTCTGCCCAATGCCGATCGGGGGTTCCAGCGGTCTATCTCTAGATGGCGAGCGCCAAGCATGCCCAGGAAGGTGCATGACGCTGGGGATTGAACCCACGACCTCCCGAATGCCACTTGCGAGCCTTGCCAACTGAGCTAGGCCACTAGATAGCGACTTGAATTCCATGTGTCCGGACTGGAAATCCTTTCGCACCGTAGGCCTGTTTGTGACGATATGTGGGTGAGTGATAGTCTACTTTGATTTTGGTTAAGGTAGATTATCATTTACAGTGTAATCAGTGTGGGGATTCTGCAGACTGTTGAGGGTTCAGCCTCCTGATGAGTCGGTGAAACTCCGACGAAACAGTTTGTCACAGCCCCTCGTTTGTTGTCCTCTTCTCCCTCTCTGCCTACGGTTTACCGGGCAGTTCTATTTGACGATATATATACTGCGCGTGAAATCAATGAAAGAGGGAAGCTGAAAGATCACTGTGGAAAAAGAAAGGCAGTGATCTTACGTTCTGTGCTTCGCACCATAACGCGACCTCTTGGAAGTGCCTATTGGAAACTGATACGAATTTGT